TCTCCACGAAAGGTAGCTATTACCTTAATTTTCAACAGCATAGTTTGCCTTGTGCTTAAACTTTTGCAAAATGGGATGAAGTTTACTCATCATTATTACTGTGGGATTTATTCATATATCTACAAGTAATTGTATAGCATATATTCTCACTGATGTTTAATATTCCATTGAGTGACTCTACTTCAATCTGTTTATCTTTTCTACCATAAATTATTATTTCAGTACTGGTCAATTTGAGGTTATTATGTAGGCTGTCACTACAAACATTCTGGTATATTATTATCCTGATGATCTATATATGCATTTTTCTTATATATAAGCTTATGAGTAAGATTCATAGGTTAGACCTATGTTCTGCCTTAAAAGATAATGTCAATTTCCTGAAGTTATTCCCACTAACATTCTATGAGAGTGTCAACTGCTCCCCACCCTCACTCTTTGTATTTTTTTTGTCTTTTTCATTTTATTCATTCTGGTGGAATATGATCACATTTCATTATGATTTAATTTGTATTTCTCTGAGGACCTAATGAAATTAAATATCTTTTCACATTAATGTTCTTTTATTTAAGAGTGCTCAAGTATTTTTCTACTTTCCCTATTGTCTAACTTTTTATTATTAATTTGTATAAGTTCTTCATGTATCTTGGATGTAAGTATTTTTTGACATATGCATGGCTGTGGGTCTAATTTCTTTTTCATTTTTATTGTTTTAACACATATAAGGTATTTGAGAATTGCATTTTAAAATTGACCTAGACCTATTCATTAAGAGCTCCATACAAAAGCATAAATACTTCACTGTGCTCCTTGGCATTTGCATATGATATGGCACAAATTTTAATGACAAAAACGTTAAGGTAGCAAAGAGCTCAAAACAATATAATCCTCTTATACTATAGAAAATAAAGTGATTTTGTATTTTCATGTAGTATGTATGTTCTTTTATGAAAGGGAACAAGGAAAAAAAATTTCCTGCTTAGCTTCATGAATCATTTATGGCATTTTAAGATAATTGCATATTACAAAATGTAAATTTTTCTAAAACCATGTAATTACATTTAATGCAAATGTGAATTACCTAAATTTGTAATTAAACAACATATGTGGTATATTTTCATTTTGAAGTAACAGAAATGTAGTGTTAAAATACATCAACACTCATACACTTCAGAGCTCATGACCTAATGAAGTGCAACTCTGGGTAGTGTTCTCCCCCTGGCTCTGCCACATTATCTGTCAAAGCAATCCTTTTCTTTCTTTTTTTTTTTTTAATAATTCATTCTGAGTTACACAGACTTGTAATGGCATGAGGTCTCTTGGATAAAATGCTATAGCCTTTAAATATACCAAACCTCTTCAATTCCCAAAACTTATTCAGTTATTTAAGTGGATGCTTTCTGAATATATTATATGCTTTCCAGCCTTATTAAACAGGTAGACTAAACATAATTATTATTTTCTTACTACAAACACATAGTTTGTCATTTTTTCCCCCTAGCTTTCTGAATGCTATCTGGCACTACCCTCTGACCTTCCTACAGGGGGCCTGGCATATCAGACAGAAACTGGATTGGTAGTCTAGCTCTGCTACAGGCACGTTTTATGAAATTGACAGTTGTTTAAACCTGATGGACTTCATTTTCTTAATAACAGAAATGCAGGGGTTGAGCTGGAGGAGGGTCTGTAATGCTTCCACTGGCACAGAGATCTGCTCTGAGTATTCAGTAGGAGGAAAAATTGTTACAAATGTCATCGTTAGAAAAGTAGGTCTCACCATGGAGGATGTATGTATATATTGATAAACCAGAATCCTCATAATGACTTATCATCAAAAACAGAACAATTAGTATGGAGAAATGAGTGAAAAACACTAGAGAATAGTATCTTTATTGATACTTTTCTAAAGACTGAGACCCCAAATTCTTTATCCTCTGACAAATAACCATGGGACTATGCATAAGGCCAAGCGGAGCCCAGAGCAGCTGGCCAGTTTTTATCTTGCCCATGCTCTCAACAACGGTAGAGAAGAATGAATATCAATGGGTTTGCCCAAATCTGGGATCTTTCTATATTTTCTTTTTAATTTTGGTCAGTTTTGTGGCTGTGATATGCAATCTGTATATAATTTGTTTTTTGCCTTTCTTTGAATATTGGTAGGATTGCTTATTTTTCATTTATCCATAGGCCACATTTATCTTTTTTCCTATGAAATTCTCAACAGTTCTTTTTTCCTTTTCTCCCTTTGTCTTTTTTCATATTGATTTATTGGGGTACTTGCCAGATCCTACATTATTGATTAATATGAAATGAAAACGTTTGCACTCATCTTTTCATATAACCTCTTACTCTTTATTGAAAAACAGATTTTCTTAATTTTAATGTGGATGAATTTATTAATACCTTTAGTACCTTTTATGCCTGTTGTATAAATCCTACTAAGCATTTACATGTTTGTTTGTTTTTTTAAATATATCCTTAGTCCAGATAGAATTGTTTTTTGTGATACAATGATGTAAAGATCCAATTTCACTTTGTTTATCTAGATGACCAGATGTCTCAGCATCATTTATTGGCAAATCTATCCTTTGCTCATTATCTTCAGTGTCTGAATCAATATAAATTATTTTTCATATACTTAGGAGTATTTTAGCTTATCTTTATTCTCCTCTTAATATATACTAGTAATTGTCACAATTTCATCATAAATGTCCATCTTTATACAGGCAACTTGCTTCATCTTTCTCTGGAATATTTTAGTTATTTTACACACTTTGTTTTGCCTATAGAATCAACATTTCACATTAATTTTTAAAATTCATTGAGATTTTTATTGGAATTTTATTGAATCTATACATCTACTTATATATGTTAAAACATTGATTATCCCCACAATATAGAACCCCACAATCTCTCTAAAATATCTTATTAAGCCAAGTGATATTTGTAGATCATTTTGGTCTTTCAGTTTATACAGCCATATTTGCTAATGTGATGTTATTTTTATCTCTTATAATCTTTATACTGTTCATATATTTTCTTGTCTTTCTGTAATAGCTGCAATTTCAAATATGGTATTGGGTAGAAATTTTGATAGTGGAAATCCTTTTCCATTTCTGATCTTAAAGAGTATATTCTGGATTTCATTAGTATGGCTTATGTTCTTTGTTTTAGATCATTTATCACACTTTTCCCTTTAAGTAGACAAGGAGAAAGGCATCTGCCATTCATCAGCTTTACCAGATGCTTATGCTGAATGTCTCATTTTATCTTCATACCAATCCCCAAAGTTCAGTGTCACTCACCAGTTTCAGAAAGTGGAACTTGGGAAGATAATTGCTCCCAGTCACAACAAGTGGCCAACTTGCAATCTAAACTCATATTTTGGATCATCTCTCCCCCTCATATTACAGTTATATTTAGTTGTGTTGGTGCCTAATCTTAATCATATTGAACTGACCAGGGAAGCAGACACCTTTACTGTAAACATTCTGATATAGAAATGAGGTTAGCTATGGCCACTCTTTATCCCAAATCAGTACTGGTCTTTAATATTGCAGCATGAACAACCTGTAGTTTGAATATTTGAAGGGGAGGGACCCACTGGTATAGATCAAGCTGTCTTTCCTATGACTCTTACTCTGAACATTGTGTGTTGGACCTGACTGCTAGTCTTCATTATTTATCAATAGTCCATGACTATTGTAACAGGGTTCAATCCCTTGTGAACATCCCTAGTGCTGACTTATGGTCTTACGCAGTGCCATGGCTTGGCTATCTATGGCCACTATGACTTGTTTCTTCATTCAGGAACTCAAGTCATCTGGCACAGAGGAGTTGAAACCTTGATTTGAGCTCAGATTCCAAGATATAAGTTACCAAATGAAAATAGTCCTGAAGTAAAAACCTGTTCTCAGGAGAAGAGTGGAATGCCTGCTGGTATACAAACCCTCCAGTGGCCATAACAGCAAAACTATGTTACCAGTGGAACAGATTAAATTTCTGCATTATCACTTATAATTCTATGTTTATAGTTTACTGCAAGCTGATTTCCAACCATACAATCTTATTTTTCTTGGCACACTATCATCTTTGCCTAGCAAGTCAAAGGAGCTTTTGGCTTACATTCTTCCTTTGGTTAAACTCACTTCATCAGGGAGAAAACTGCTCTTTCCAAAGAACCACATTTCTGTTTTATCTGTGTAGCATCTTGTGGGATCCGCATTGCTAATCCTAAATATAGCGAAGACTGAGATACATAGGAGATGTTAAGACTTCATTTACAGGCTGTCCCAAGATGATGTGCTAGAATTCTTACCAGTCTCATAAAAGGCAGCCTTACCATCTGCTTGATGAGACCAGGGAATGAATTAACGATTCAGCTGACTCCATTAGACTTTCTGTCACTGTTCCCTCCATCCAGGGGCGGAAATATATATTCTCTATGGGAGAGATTTACCCCCAGATCAAATAATTTTTTTTTCCTTCCCCTTAACGGATAATTTGTTATGGCCTCATAGTGATAGAAATATGTGGCCCTTCACTGAAAAAAAAAAATCTTTGAATATAAATGTTTCACTGAAAATTAAAATAACTCCTCAGTTAGGCGGAGAGAATGTGGCAAACATGTTGGGATCCATTGGTGCCAGCACAGTGGAACCATCTAATATGTATTTATGGTACCTGATTCATGCCCTGGAGAGATCACAGAGCTGCTTTCTCTGATCAGAGCTCTTGCAGTGATACTTAAAAATTAATTGAATTTTCAAGAATGTCACTTTTAGCTGCTACTATAGTTGATGGCCCAATAGCTGAGGAGGTTTATTAAAAATATACTGCCACCTACAGCACTATTGGACTCTTTGGCAGGGCTCTTGTTGTGAATGTTAATTAGGCAAAGAGTTCATTTGGGGCCTGATTAGTTATTGTTTTTGTTAAGATCTGCTGATCTGCATAGTGTGTACCTTTACTTATGCATCTATCTATCTGTTTTCCTCTAG